GGCCAGCGCCTGCACCTCGTCGCGGTTGCGCACCAGCATCACCGACAGGCTCTTGTGCGGGGCCTTGCCGGCCGTGAAGGAGAAGAAGTAGGCGCCCGGCACGCGGCAGCGGAAGCGCCCCGTGGCCGCGTCGAAGTCGCCTCCGATGTTCACGAGCACCTTGTCGAAGGTCACCGCTATCTCCGACGTGCCCTCCAGCGGCGTGGTGCGGACTGCCGAGAAGGCCGAGCGCAACCCCGAGGAGCCGGGCCCCGGGGCGGGGCCCAGGGCCCAGCAGGCAGCCGGGCCCAGCAGGCCCAGCAGGAGAAGCAGTACAAGCAGCATGGCCCCTGTGGAGACAGGCGGGAGAGGGAGACATGGCGCTGCAAACCAACGCAGACAGGGTGCTTTTCCTAGACCTGCCCTGGACCCAAGGATCGCTGTCAGCTTCCTCCAAACCGGGGCTAGGTCGGCACCTCCCGCACTTTTTAGCATCTCTGTCACACGGGGGGCCTATTAAGACACAGACTGGGCCTGGCAAGTGTAAGGTCCAGAGTCCGATCCCCCGTACCCAAAACCAAAACCAAACACAGGGCATGGTGCTTCACATCTGCAGTCTCAGCAGTTCAGGAGGCTGAGGCAGCAGGATCACTGCCCCTTCGAGGCCAGCCTGGGCTACTTGGCGAGTCCAAGCTCAGCCTGAACTACATCGTGAGATCTTGTCTCAAAAAAAACAACCACAACAAAAACCGAAAAATAAATAGTGAACAGCCATGGTGATGTACACCTGTAATCCCAGCACTCTGGGAGGCTGAGGGAAGAGGATCACAAGTGGGCAACTTATGGACTTAGGAAGACCCTATCTCAAAATAAAGAGGGCTGGGAGTGGAGCTCGGCGCCACAGCTCCGGGTTCAGTACCCAATATCATGAAAACACATGCATAGCTGGGCCTATCCCAGAGTCTGGGCTGGGGCCTGGGAATCGGCGCGTTTGACAGTTGGGGCAGCTGCTGCATTTCAGAACAGAGGCCAGCGATTCTCCGCCTTCGTTTCCTTCCTTTGTGAGCACAGCCCCGTTCTCAGGTGGGTGTGGACACAGGGTAGCACAGACAAGTGGAACTCAGGCTGTGGTTGAGGAGGCCTGCAGCCCTGTGTGCCCAGCCCACCTGTCTGCCCTCAGGACCCTGGGCCCTGGTAGCCCAGGGGCAACCAGGGCACTCTTAATGTCCCTCAGCCTCTGGTGTGCTGTGTTCTCCTGTGGTCCCCTCTGGTCCTTGGCTTGCCCTTCACAGCAGGCACTGGCTCTCAGGATCAGTGTCCTCCATGACAGCAGCTGTTTCAGATGCTCTGGGCAGGAAAGGAAATGGCTGTTTGCTGACTCCCGATCCTCACCAAAGGCCCTCTGACCCAGCCATCCATCCAGATGGAGAAGAAGCCAGAACAGTTGGGCTTTGAGGCAGCTAGTTCTGCCACCATGAAATCAGAGGAAAGGGGAGCTGACGGTCCTTCAGGGCAGAAGAGGCCCCGGGGGGCACGGTGGGGGAGGACAAAGTTCCAGGGGGGCCTTGGTAAGACTGAACTGCTCCCCTTGTTCCTCAGAGGTGGAACTGAGTGCTGTTCTCTAGATCTGGGCTCACATCGTGCTCCCCGGGGTCAGGCTGAGCCCTCGGGAGCTTCTGAGTTACTATGGGGCCCTGCTTCACCAGTTGGCTGAGAGGGCGCCTTGCAAACGGCAGGTGGCCCTGGGAGAGGCCGTGACAGTCCTTGACATCAGGGTGAGGGACTCGAACCCCTGCCCCTGAGAGCAAGTGGGCTCCCATTGTTCATCCTAGGAGGGCAGAACCCTGAAGGCCGTCATGTCAAGCAGGAGGCAGCGCTGGACCCACGCGAGCTGCTCCCGGAAACACCCTGTTGTGTGTGTGGCTCTGTGTCACCTGGAGACGCCAGGGCCCTGCTGAGCGGGGTTGCCAGGTTGCCCAGCAGATGTGGCCTGCACCGGGTGTTCATCTGAGGGCTGTGAGGGCTGGAGTGTAGCCCAAATGCTTGAACAGCACCCGGAGAAATTCTCAGGATGTGGTGCTTTCTCTAATTCTGAAGAGGCACCCTGTGGGTGATGATCGATGTCCTTGGTGAGAGCTGGAGGAAAAGGCCTAGTCTCCAGTGCTGCAGGCTGCACCTCAGAAGGATCCAGCTGGGTGTGAGGCAGGGCAGTTGCCTCAAGTTTGAGGCCAGCCCGGACTAGTGTAAGTTCAAGGCCAACCTGAACACCAAGACCCCCTCAAAACTCAAACCAGACAAAAGAACCGAAGCTCTTTTGGACACATCCGGTCTTGGCAAGCTTGGGGGCTGGACACTCTCCGGTTTTATAGAGGAGAAAGCTGAGGTCTAGCCAAAGGGGCTCATTTCCTCCCAAGGTCATCCCCATAGCATGAAGGAAGGGCTTGCAGAGAGGTTTGCTGACTTCGAATTCAGACTGCCTTCTTCCCACTACCCTTCTCTTTTACACACGCCTATCTCCAGCTAACCTGCACCCTGCCTCAGTTTCTCTTTTCTGCAAAAACAGAAGAGGCGAGGGGACTGCGTAGTAGGATCCACAGTGAAGGAGAAAACAAGCAAGCAAAGCAAACAAAGTCAAACCAGAAGTCCCCTCCAGCGTCAGTCTCAGGGCGCAGGGGCTGTTTTTTTTTTTCCCTAGCCGCTGCTTCCCAGAGCCCCACCACCTCCCACCGGCTCTACAAGGTGATCCCGCGCGCTGGTCCCAGCCTCCGGCTCCCCGCTACCGCACGTCCGTTCCCCGGGGCCCTGGGACCCCTCCTCGGCCGGGCCTCCTCCTCCCCAGC